AGTCGAGCTGACTGACAAGAAGAGTGAGGTGAGACAGACAAGACGATCGCGGATGATTTAGTTTCGAAACGAGATGCAAAAGCACCTGTTTGGCAGTATTTTGGATTTTGAAAAGCCTGTGATTTTGGACTTTTTATTTAAACATTCGTTTCTTATTTAATTGGTTCCACTTTGTTTGCTGATTTTTTATTTATTTAAACTTTGTGTCATTTATTTATTTTATTTGACAGCAAGGTGTATGCCCTGCCTCCTCAAGCTTTCTTACTCGTTTTGCTAATAAACGTTCTACGTGGTGTATTTTTATTCGTTTTGTTAATAAAAGTTCTGTTTTATATATACATACGCTAAAGTGAGTTTGACATTGTACTTTGTCGTTGCATTCAAGCAATTGATGCCTAACTGCCGCTAATTCAAAAGTGAAAGTAAAATGTGCACGGCGCTTTAAAGCTATTTAAAAGCGAAGGAAAGCGAGGAAAAATTCAAACGAACTAAAAACGAACAATTGCTTTACGCCGAATTGCCGCTATTTCAAAGTGAAAGTAAAATGCACACGCCGCTTTTACAAGCCATTTAAAAGCGAAGGAAAGTGAGGAAAAGAGGCAACGCCCCGCCCCCGCGGTGATACCGGTATTACCGGTGTTGTCACACGTCGATTAACCGGTGGGAAAATTTCCTCACCGTCACAACCCTACTGGCCATCTGCCTACTAAATTCACAAGCCAATCACTGCTTTCCAGTGACATTCCCAAATGAGCATGCAAGAAATCACTGGCATTGAGCTGCAGCCCCTGAGGGATGAGAAAAGTCAATATCTTTTCAATAGATTGGTGAGGGGCATCCTTAAATCAATTAAGCACATACTCTAATATGAAACCTCATAGCTCAGCCAGATCCGGTGTTACCAGGAAGCCTCAAAACATTCACTTGATCTCCTGTTCCTGTGGCTTTGTTTCTTTCTTTGTTAAAAGCACCCCTTAAGGCTTGTCTTATTTCAACCAATGGTGTTCTCAGTGGCATTTCCTCTTATGAATATGTAAAGCTCTTTAAGTGGAAGTTAAATGATCAAGTCTTCCTCTACTGACGCTCACAAGAATCTTTCCTCCTGCTGCCACTGTGATGAATCAAATCTAACTCGTTCCAGATTCTGCTGAAAGACTCGTTGTGCTTTGAGCCCAAAGGTTTCTGACTTGCTCAGTTTAATGCCATTTTCACATCTATATTTTCAAGGCCCATGAAACATCATCATAGGAAAGAGTAATTTGTGACGTGGATCACAAAAGAATGAAGTATATATTAAGATAACGGCAAGTTGTATAACCCCCATCAAGCCTGCAATATATAGTTATATTCAGAAAAATCACATTTTTATAAACATTTAAATTTCATAGAAAAAATATAAAAGGTTTGTATGCGCTTTATGTAATGCATCATATTTTACATCAGGTTTTCACCACGTTTTTACCATGTTGATAATTTTAGATGCTTTAGTTTCATGCATCAAATACGATACAGTAGAATTTCCAGGATTAAACCTAACATATGCATAAGTCTAACACTGATTGGGACTAAGCATGCAGTTCTATGGAGTGCCTCTTAGCACACTTGCATGTGGTAAAGTGCAAGTTGTGGATGTTCATTTGCATGCACTGATTTTAATGTTTTGTTTGATATACTTGTTAAAGTCATGTGAGCCATCACCTTTGGCTAACCTACCTCTGCACAACCAAGAATAGGACACTGGGTAACTACTGCCTTCCTTCACTTCGAACATGCATTTCAGATTTAAAATGCAACAATATAACTATCGGTTTGAAGTCGTGTGGATGCATCAAATATGTGATTTAACAAACCAAACAATTCTCCAAACAACCCCAATAATATTTTACCGGCAAAATTAGTCATTTATTAAAAATGGCTGGTCAATTGGGCCCTGTGAGGTGGACTCCAAACCCCCATTCACCCCATGCTATCCGGTTATCATCTTTCAGCAAAATATAAACGAAACCTGCCCATATTAATGCCGACCTATGTGAGAGAAAAGAAAACTGGTTTTGGTTGCGTGATTTGTCGTTGCTCATGGCAGTGCTAACATTAGCCAGACTGAGTCTTTTCTTCTAAAAGAGCAACAGCAGAAGCAGCACGCTGACTAGCCGTTAACATACCTGTCTCCGCCGGTCCTGTTTCTCTCTTCAAGTATATCGTTTATTCCGTCCAGAAGGTCTGTGTCCTGGCCCTTTGTATTGTGTGTTTGAGCGTGTGTGTGAGAGAGCGAGGCCGGCTGTGGATTACAAAAGCTCGTGCTATGCTAGTCCCAGCTAGCCGAGAGGTTAGCGACCCACAAAAACCTCCTCCACAAAAGAGAGAGAAGCGTTTATGTCCCTCTCCCTGTCGTTTTCTTTCTCTGTATGCGTCTCTGGTCGCGCCGCCGGTGTGAGGCGAGGAATAACGGGCGGTTAGCGGTTTCTCGTGCGCTCGAGAGAGGGCCCCGCGCTCGCGCCGCGGCCTGTCGCACAATCAAAGATGGCAGAGCGCCAATCCACGAGAGCCTGACGTCACCGCGTACAGGCGCTGCGCAGCGTCAGCGTCAGCGGCTGAGGAAGCGTCTTTAACATATGAGAGACACAGCAGACGGCGCCCTTTATACTGTTTGGATGGAGCTTGACTGTCGTTTTTTTATTAGAACAAAGTATACAAATGTGTACACAAAAGTGCCAGAGTGTACATAGCAATCATTAATTGATCAAAAATTCTAAATTCATTAAATATATATTCAATTTTTTATTAATGTTCTCCAAACAGGTGCTGTTGTCCTTGGTCTGCTGTTGGATCCTGAATATTTCTGAATTTTCCCAAAATAATAAAATGATTTTTATTGGAATTTTATACATATATCAAAATTATTCATCTTGATATCTGTTTACCTTTATATAACATTTTCCACATTCACCCCAAAAAACCTTGTGTATACAATTACATAAGAGATGGACAATTGATTCTTATTTTCTTCTCAGAAATATCTCAATCAATATCCAAATTAAACTTTTAGCCTAGCTGGATATATACAAGGTAATATTTTAATGTAACCTCTTTTACTTAATTATTTAACCTATAATTTTAATGAATACCCCAGGCTTTAGTTTTCATTTGTTTCAGCTATTATAATATATCTCTCATAACATATCGGTCAAGGAATAGTTTCCCCACCAAACTGATGACTTTCTTTCTTCTGTGGAGCACACAAGTTTGGCAGAATGATGACAGTGGTCTTTTTCATACAACCAGGGCATTTTAAGCCTAAAAACGCATCATGAAAGTATCATAAAAGTCAGCAATGGTTTGTGTAGATGGTTTGTGAGAATTTTTACTTTGTTTCCCAAGTAAAATGTAGCTAGGTACACGTTTTGTCATGAGCGAATTAAAGCTGCTTAAATTGTGATTAGATTTAAGATTTGTAATGTTGGTATTTCTGCATTTTTCATTTCATTTTTCTCACATAGTAAGTGTCCTAATAGTGACCTAATAACTTTTATAGCCTATCCTTGCTTATCCACAAGAAATGTGCTGTCATGTGCCGATATATTTATTTACAGCAGTAAACATAAACATGCACACCTCGCTTTTTTAGGCTTACTACACCGCAACATACAATAAAACATTCATTTACAATGAGATGCACTTATGTATATTATTGACTGTGAGCATTGATTCAGTAAACTAAACGTTGCTCCACGAAAATTTACTGTTATTTTTATTGACATTTTTCTTATTGATACTACAACTGAGAGGGTCATTTCTTCATAATAATACAGTAACATTTTGATATTACTTGGAACAAATCGAGTATGCTCAATAGTTAAAAATCACGTCTGTAGTGCTGAAAAAGTATATTTATACTTTTCATTTAATGCTCAGTAAGTTACAAATACTGTATATTTACTAAAATTATTTGTTATATTTTTAAATTGCATTAATAGCTGGAAGTTATACATCTATAATGCAACTCAATAAAAAGAATAAAAGAGTTTGATAGTGCATGCTGGTTTTCAACAATTAAACCAATTACATACAAAACTACACATAAAATCACTTTTATAATAAAATGTATATTATGTTCAAAATGTTAAGGCACATGTTGATAAATCAAAAGAATTCTTCCAAGTCTAAAAATCAGTTTCAGTATTACTACAGCAAATTCACAAAATATAAGAATTTCACACACTACTTTTTTGTCATTGTTACAGTTTAGCCTAGTTGACTTGTGTTGTCAGATTTTATACAACTATGTTATGTTTCTGGTTCACATTACATGATCACTGTGTGGTCAGTGGCAATGGTACAAAAGCCCTGATCTTGTCCAGGAGTGATGAAGGGTCTGCTATGAGTGTGTGCAGACTGGCTCTGCTGTAATACAGAGCAGACAGCAGTGCTGCAACAGACACTGAGAATATGAGTGAAAGAGAGGAGCGCTGTGACTGCGGCTCTGGTGTACAGCGTGTTCTCAGGGGCTCGTTGACTCGATCCCACTGAGTCAGGATGGCCTGACGTGCACCTTCCCATCGGCGTGGCCCGTGAAGACGAAACTGGTACGGGGTGCAGGGCCCAAAGATGACATTCAGAGCCAGTCTAGGGTCTGTCAGGAGCAACTTCAGGATAGAAGGATGGACACCCACTTGTTTAGCCAACTCATCCATGTAGGGGATGTAGTCCACCTGGATGGTGTGTCTCTGGGCAGCCACATACCTGCACGAGAACACGATTAAGATCAAGATCCACTGAAATTACATACTTGAATTGTAGAAATTGTGTGAATGCTGTGTTATATTGTCATGTGAGATGTTAAGTGTGGAGAACCTTCGAGCCATTGCTTCCTCTTTTGCTTTAATGTCCTTCATCATTGCACTCATTGGAGGCAGTTTGCATAGACCTAGTGAGGATATCACAGCTTTGTTACATACAAAAACACTGTATCCTTATGAACATTAATAATGTTCTTACATGTTTATGTTTCACTTAAAGGTTAATGTGTTTTTAAGGGTAATGCCATGAAAAAATATAAAGGGTTTTATTTACATTATAAACAAGGGTTTGACAAGGGTATTTGTACTGTGTAGATAAACTGTAACTTCAAAACTTCCAAACTAAGAAGACCGAAATAAGCTGCAAGAACATCATGTCTTAAGCTTCAGTAGCATTAATCTAAATCTACAGATAAAAGGGTAAATGTTTTTGATGCAAGAAACATTTTGTCATATTGTAAAAGGTTAATTATAATCTTTAATAAAATTATAATGTACAGGATTGCAGGTGGACATCTCATATTTCTCTGTGTACACTCATAAAATAAAAGTTTCAAAAGGTGGGTTTCGCAACAGTGTCACAGAAGAACCATTTAGGGTTCCCAAAGAACCTTTCAGTGAACAGTTCTTAAAATAACCATTTTTTCTTAGTGTGAAGAACATTTAAAACCTATTTCCTCTATAGAATCTTTTGCACAATAGAAAGGTTCCATGGATGTTAAATGTTCATGAAACCATAAATTCCACTGAAGAACCTTTATTTTTTAGAGTGTAGGAGGTCAGTGTCATGTTTGATACCTTTAAAAACACGAGTGGCCCAGCGCGCCTGCATCTCAGAGATGGGCATAATGGCTCCCAGAGGCTGGATCAGACCAATCACGGCTAAAGTTGGCCGCTCCAGTCCTGGGGGATATACGTATTTGTACAGGGATACTTTGTTCTTTGAGACAGGAATTACATGTGAAGACAGGAAGGGGAATGAGAAAGTGTAGCCTGTGGCAAACACCACCAGATCAATGTCATCTTCAACAGTGCCATCCTCAAACACCACACTTGATCCACGAAACTCTTGAACGTTTGGCTTGACTGAGACAGTACCGGAGAGGATGCGGTTTGGTAAGTCATCATTGACCATGGGATGCTGGTTGAAAACACTGGGGAAAAACAATAGACATTATATAATGTAATTGATTGCAGCAAAGAAGCTTTCATTGATTCTGTCTTGTTCTGCTTGTATAAAGATGACCTCTTCATGCTAAGGTACCAATACTAAGAATGACCAACATTATCAGAGTCTTATTTCTTCTAATGTTCACAGTACCTGTGCGCAGGCTGCAGCCCATAGAGCTTGTGGTTGAACCGTTTATTGAGTCGTTTCTCTCCAAAATTGTTGATAAATCCAACAGGCAACATATGAATAAGCCAGTTACTCATTCTCTTATTAAATAACATATCAGCTGGAACACCATTGTCTCCTACACGATTTAGTATCCAAGATCCCCTTCGGGTGCTCAGATAAACCTGGAATTAAAGTAAGGGAAACAATGTGGAAAACAGAGGCTTCAATAGAAGTAAAATAATTCACACACTATATTTTTTTTTATTCTGTAGATGTAGCATATCACCTGTTTGGCCATTCTGCTCAGCTCCACAGCAATATCTCCTCCAGAGTTCCCAATACCAATCACAACTACCCTCTTCCCTCGCCATTCTTCAGGGTTTTTGTAGTCACGACTGTGGAAGATTTTTCCCTTAAACGTGTCTATTCCTAAATAGAGGATTTTAAACAGGTAGCCACTATAACATGAAAACACACATATATGACTATTGCATCCATGAAACTCTGCTGCCTCTACTGATTCTGCAGCAAATGAGCTTAATTTCTCAACATTTAGCCTAAATAATCTGGTTCAGTGTTTACTGTAAAATGGTCCTGCAACTATTAGAGTTCCTCTGAAACCCTCCACCTCCCCCAGCTCCACCTGTCTAGATCTGATACAAGATTTTATGATGCCTATTTGTGCCTGTTTAGCTCCACGTTTGTACTGGCAGCAGCAACTCCATACTTGCTCTGGAACACCAGCGGCATTAACAGCAGCAAGTGTAGCAGATCTAATCCACTAAGACCAAATATTGTAACATTGTCATATCCATTAACATGCTAAAACTATCTCAAAAGTTGTCATGATTGAAATACAGTTATATGTAATGTAGCAGTTAATATATAACTTTTTATAATAACTTTAGTGTCTCATTGCATATGCATTTTGAACATGATGTTCTATTAACAAAGTTCGGGAGGAGCATGTTTAGATAATAATTAATTACCACCATGGAAACATTCAGATAATCAAATTAATTACACAATACGAGGTATATATACAGCTGACTCATCCCTCCACCATACCAGCTCCTCTCTCTCAATTATTACTATCCCAGATAAGGATGAGGGGGAGTACTCTGGGTTTGGGCTAAATCGCGAGCTTGGATCCCTCCCCTCGGACAGCATGCCAAATATGCATACTCTTCGCTTTATCTGATTATATGTAAGTGAGAACTCATGAACTGATGTTGAATCATTCTTTGCAAGCCCTGTAAACTTACTAATTATAAATAATATTTCTATTCAACATTAAAATGAGAGGGGCTTTTCACTTACTGTACAGCAGAGTTGTGATAAAGCCTAATGACTTTTGTACACCCAAAGTTTATGAGTGTTTGGCCTTTATTGACATAATGCTGTTGCACTTTGCACATTTGCTTAGTCATCACATGTACTG